AAAGACCTGCACTGTAAAACCACATGGATCTGAGCCTAGGGCCATGAGGAACAAAAGATCAGCTGCTTTTTTCAGAGCTGCTCCACGGTGACCTGAAGGAACATCATGCGAGAGCGTTCCCCAAGGCCCCTTTTGTGGTTGCAGTTTCTCGGGGATCCCATGAGAGCTCAGTAGATTGCAGTGTTCCTCTTGGAAGTGGCTTTCCTTGGAAGATAGCCAGAGCAACAGGACAGTGGGAAAGCCTCACCCCATTCTAGAACCATCAGGCTCTACAGAACAATCTCTTTCTGCAGCTCCCCTGATTAAAGGGGACTATTTAAAGTACAAGCCCAAACCCTATTCCTTGTGAGTTTTCTATCTTTCTGTAATTTTCTTATCCTTTTCCTTTATTTCACACAATACAAGGAAGCTTCCAAGAGCTCACTATCAATGATGTTTTTATATTCACATAATACTAATGAACATAGATGGATCTAGCTTGTTGGACCTAGCTTCTGTTAGATGGGCAGCATGTCCCACCTAGCCCAAATATTTAATGAGACAAAACTGCCAATTTAGTGGTGATAAGAGAGTTAAAGAGGACAAAATACAATCAGTTCATTAAAATGATGTTTAAAATTTCATAAAATATAGGAAAAGAAATGTTACAAATTCTAAGTATCAATTACAGACTTCCCCCCCCGCCCCCCCTTAGAAAGGGCTGAGGGGGAAAGACAAAGACAGATTTTTTCCACTGGTAAAACCTGCTGCTTTTAGGAGACAACTTTCAGTTATTTAGAGACCATGCAATATATGGAAAAACTAGAATTTTACCTCAGGAGACTCATTCTCCACAGAGGAGATCTGTTCTAACCGTGTTTGACAAAGTCTTTCCACCCAGTGCTGAACCTTTTCTGATTCTTCCAGGTCTTCTCGCTCTGTCTCAGATACCTTGACCATAACATTGGTGCATTAGAAAAGGTTACAGGTATAGTCATAAGACAACTATGTTTCAAAAGTATGAAATTTCACCTAAAAGAGTTTAAAAAAAATAATAATACTTTTAAGAAGGATTTCCTATCTTGCTGTTTTTCAGTAAATTCATCACTACACATGGACACAACTGCAGAAGTACCCTCATTTGGACAAAAGCTGACTAGAAATAAGCAAATGCAGCAACAGAACTTTGCAGTAAGACAGTTTTTAAAATTTCATTATCTTTGAAATAAGTAAACAAGTGTCCTGCTAAAATAATTCCATTAAAAATCCATTTAATTTTCTTTCAATATAGCTTTGCACTTGATAGGTGACAACATACCTCTTGCACAAGACGATTTATTTTCAATTGTTTTTCTCTTTCCAGCATTCCTTCCTTCTCTTTGGCAAGTTTTTGCTCAAACTCCATTTCCTTTTTGTTCTTCTTCTGTTCACAAAAGCTATCACTTTTTGACTTCTTTCGTTCTTTCCCTTTCTGGGAAGGTTTTGTAAGAAAAACTTTTACATCAGCTAAAACCACCAGAAACTTCAATCTTGGTACATGAGTGTCTGCCTTGAAAACTTAATTACAGTCTACCCAAGTATGGGGATGGTTCTTTAAAAGAAAATCCAAAGTTCCTTTACCCAGCAATTTTCAAGAAATTCAAAATTTTTGGAGGGCTTGTGCCCCTGAACATAAGATGGATGAGATCAGAGAATTCAACTTTTTTGTTCCTCTGCAAAGTTACAACTTTAGGGCACACAGGCCCACTACAAAACTGAATATTCAAAGAGTTTTGGTTGCGTCTTAAATTGCCATCTCTCTGTTTTGGCATTTATATATAAATATATGAATGCTTGCTTTCAGGTGACAGATGCTCATGTATAGGTAGATGTGCATAGTCAACACACACAACAGCTTCATGCACATGCCCTAAAATCAGCATTGCATCCCCTAATAAAACTGAAATAAGGAATTGTAAAGGAAAGGTTTACATCAGTGCAGAAACTGAGTTGCTTCCAAGAAGGAACACTGCTTCACAAAGACCATGTAGCTCCTACAAGCACTGGATAAAATCTACTCAGATGAGTTAAATAATACAGCACAAAGTGACTAAAATTTTAGATGTAGGACACAAAGAAAGGGAAAAGCTACATAGTCTTTTGGAAGTCTCTGTTCCTGTTATCTTCAAAACACACCGCTCCTTATTTCTTCTTTTGTTATGTCACATTTTGGCTGCCCGTTCACATTTGTACAGGTAGGACTCAGTTCATTTTGGAAATGCCATGTTCTCATTCTGTTTATGAAAACTAAAACAGAGGAACAGGTGGCCACTTGTAGACAATTACTGCCACAGCCAGAAAGGCTGCGCTTCAGGTTTGATTTTGCTCTTCTCATCATCATCAGCTATTGACTCTTAGTGCTTTGAATTCCTAAAATCACCACAAACTGCTTCACATTAAATAGCATTATTTGCCTTCCTTTCACCTTTTGCATGTTAATATTGATAACAAAGCCTTAGAGAACAGACATTTTCCCAGGCAGCTACAGAAGCCAAATCGCCCAGTAAAGCAGCTAACTGCAACTTCATACTGCTGAATTAAGTGGGATGTGGTGTATTGCTTCATGGTTACATGGTGGTCGTGGTGTTGTAGGGAGGGGAGCAAGGGGGAAAAGGAACCCCAAAAACATTGGAAATAAAAGTTTAACTAAAAATATCTAGCCTTTCACACTAATATTTTAACGTAAACCTAATTCTGTGGTCTGTTTTGTTCGGGGCTAATTAGTTTTTATCTTAACAACAATTGCCAATATCATCCTCTTAAAAATTCAAACATACATTTAGCACTGACTGCTAGATGTAACATCAGGCAGGTCAACTTACTCAGTATCAACATTTGAAGAACTACTGAATTCAAAGGCCCACTAAGCAGTACACAAGCCAAAGTCTTCTAGAACATGAACATATATCTGAGTGTCTTAGCTGCACTCACAGCATTCAGATGCAACAGGATGATTCATCCTTTCCTACAATTTTCCCCATGGATTCAGTTTACTTCCTATTATAGACATTTTTAGTACAGAGTAAAATATTGTTTTTAAAACAAACAAAAAAATCATTAGCAATAGGGAGTAGGATAGAAATTCACCACTGCCAAAAGCAAATGACTGAAAATGAAATGTTTTCAAGCTTCCAGTGCACACAGTGTGGTGTGTTCATAATTCAACAGGAATTATGTTAAGATCATTAGTATATAAAGAGGTAGTTAGGAATTCTCCTAAACTATAGATTTCAGCAGCAACCCCAAATATTACCCTCTTTGTGTGAGGAGTTTCCATAGCATGTGTTTATAATTCTCAGATAAAAATCCCAACTGCCCTGGTTTTCACACAGGTTACAGATCCATGATGATTTACAGTCACTAGCAGTACAAAAAGCTATTGGAATGCACCATCTTCTCCTGATCTCTTTTAAGGGGAACAGGTATACCCTGGGCACACAGAAGGTCAAATTAGAAGTCCTAAACAGTGACACAAATGCTTTATCCGTCAGAAACAATCCTGACCTCCTCTGAAACCTTGAGTTCTTGCCAGATACACACACAAAATCTTCATGGCAATTTTACCACACTTAATTGGCAAAAAACCACCACTAAAGCACACAGCACAACAGCAATCCCCCTAAAATAGGGCTGATATACATTTCAAGAAATAAAGTAAAAGGAAGCAACAGCAAGTACGAAATATTACTTGAAACTCTCATAAATTGAAATTGCAATACTTCAGCAGTATTCCATACAGAAGTACTCTATCAACTTAAAGATTGTTAACTGGTTTTTTTTGTTCATATCTGCATGCCTAAAAGCCTTTTGCCTTCAGCACTCCTCCCAAAGAGAGATTTGCACAGGTATAAATGGATAATTTTTGTCTCTATTGTTTTTATATACACATGATTGAGGACTTTTGGAGAATATGAAGACATGCATTGCCCACCTATAATAAACATCTGCAGAGTATTGTTATACAATTCCCTCTGCACATGGCAGAAGCCAGAGCCTGAAGGACTCAAAAGGACAAAGTCCTAGACACATGCATCCCAAAGGCATCTTAATTCGTGCACACATTAAAAGAAGGAGCATTTGACTACAAAGAATGCTTACAAATAGCAGAGAAGAAGAAAAAAGGAATTCCAATCCAAACACACATGGCAAACAAATTCACATTTCAAACATTGTACCTTACGGATTGTGGGAAATTTCCCTTCATACCGATAAAACCATCCAAAAGCTACAAAAGGTAAAGGAAAAGTTGGTTTTTGATGAAAAGCCAAGGACAGGCTCATAATCAGACCAATCAATGCTCATATGTGTAAATGATTAAAATTTATTTGAAGGTGCAACACCAGAGGTTTGATATTACATGACAAATTCTTAGCTAAATTCTTGATAAATGGTTCTAGAACATTTAGTCATAGGCTTCCCTTATTTTAGTGATACACATTTTATGCCAAACAAAGAAAATGCAACAAGTATTCTTCATACAGAACCACACAGGCCATGTGCATTGCTAGGATTTTTATGGTCACACTCCTACTTTGCAGTAGTTTCAGCAAGCCTTATCAAAGTTAACCAGGTATTCAAACTCATTCAAGCTTGTGGCAGAACACGGCTTTTGAGGAGAGACATGAAAAGCTCCATTTACCAGGACAAAATATTTCAAGCCAAGTGCATAAGTATTTTAAAATATATTGCTAAGTAAAAACGTACAAAAGAATATGTTACCATAACTTTGTATAGGAAATACTGCTAACACAGAGCACTCAATATAGTCCACGTTCCTGTAGGGTTGTTAGATTTCATATCAAGGTTATCTTTAGATGCAATGACAGCAGCAGTGTCAAAATATTTCATTATTTACTAAAGGACCACACAAATTGCCTTAGGAAAACCAAATGGTCAGCTGAAAGTCAAGACAGACTGTCAGGAGGAGGTGAGACACAGGAAGAATCTGAATCAGTATAGGAAGTCAGGGCTGAGTGGCAAACCTGTTTGTCCTGCTTCATGTTCACTTCATCCATGTCATCTGTTTCAAGTTGGTCATGTGCAACTCCCTTTATATCTTCTAGAGAAACAAAGGAGGAAAGGGGTGAGGGGACAGAAGTGACAGTAACTGGGGGTTCCCATGAAATGAAAAAGAGATCAGTAATGTGTGACTAGAAGTTTCTTTGAAACAAAAATTGGAGTAAGTGACCGGATGTTTTTCTACAGAATTGTTAAAAAAAAAAAAAGGCTCTACTTAAAATAATCTCCAACCTCCTCCAGTCCTGAAGAGCTGATAGGATCTGCATGTGGACAACTGGTCTACTATGTGTTGAAGGGAACCCTGAAGAGTTTGGTGGCTTTTCCTGTAACAGAACCATCAGCACACTTCCCCAAAGTCACACACAAAATAATATAATAAAATAATATCAGATAAGGAATTGGCCCAGGTCTCCTATAAATTATGCAACAAGAACTTTCCACATTTTTCTTTCTACAATACAATTTTAGTACACTCTCCACATACAATTTGCAGCTTCCAATTTAGCTTCTTAACTGCCAGCTAAGCTCCAACTCTCTTAATTCCCTTTGGACAAGTAAATCAGAAAGCCAGCATCATCTTGGGCTGCATCAAGAGCAGCAGGGCAAGGGAGGGAGGTTGCCCCTCTACTCTGCTTCCATGAGACCCCTCCTGGAGTGTTGCATCCTGTTCTGGAGCTCCCAATATAAGATGGAATGCCTGGACCTGTCAGAATGGGTCCAGCAGACGGCCATGAAGATGATCAGAGGGCTGGAGCCCCTCTGCTATGAGGAAAGGCTGAGGGAGCTAGGGCTGTTCAGCCTGGAGAAGAGAAGGCAGTTGGGAGACCTCAGGTGAGGCTTTTGGCTCCTAAAAGGGGCCACCAGAAAACTGAAAAGGAACTTTTCAAAAGGGCATGTAGTGACAGGACAAGGGAGAACGGCTTTAAACTAAAAGAGGACAGATTTAGATTAGATGCTAGGAAGAAATGCTTTACTGTGAGGCACTGGAACAGTAAAGAACTCCATGGGTAGGTGGTGCATGTCCCAGCCCTGGCAGTGTTCAAGGCCAGGTTGGATGGTGCTTTAAGCAACCTGGTCTAGTGGAAGGTGTCCCCATCCATGGCAGGGGGTTGGAATAAAGTCATCATTACTATCCCATGCCAAACTGTGAAAAGGCTGACAGAAACAACATGCAAAACAATGCACCAAATGCCCAAGGTTGATGCTTCAGACCATTTCTTAGTAAGCCTTATTATTTTTATTTTTCCTGCTGCTGATTGTTAAAAATCATGACTATGTGAACGGATGTATATTTTGCAAGATAGATACCTGTTAAATAAGAATTATTTAATTGATTTATCATATGCTTCCAGTCTTCTGAAAATAACCAATTCATAGCAACCTTAACGTGGAGACAAACTAGCGGTATATTCAACAGAGCTCAGTGATGTGTCTTGGACAAATACCAGGAGGAAATTTGACATCAATTACTTACTTTTGTGTTTGGAATGAGGGGGAGAGTGCACTTCTGCAGTTATAGTTTTTAGAGATTTGGGTGGTTCTTTAGGACCCCAGTCTTCTTCCCACTCCTTTTTAAATTTCTCTTCCTCTGCTGTTATCCTAGAGGAAAGAAATGCAGTTAAACATTCTGAGTACAAAATGAACAACATCAGTATAAATTCATTACCATTATAATTTTTCAGCATATTTCTTTTTTCTCTTGAATATAAAGCAGAATAAGCTACTTCTTCCTCATAACTGAATTAATCAATCAATTTGTTTAATTTCCTAAACTACTAAGAGCATTTGTGAAGTACAATGCAAGAAGAGAGTCTTATTTAATATTTAGACTTCTAAGGCCTGTTATATAACACCTGCAAAGATAATAAACCATGAGTGACACACTACAGTACTGACTCTCACCTTAAATGAAGTAAAAAAAAATCTCTCATTTAGGAATTTTTTCATTTTTAGGACTGGAATTACTTACTAGAAAAACTGAAACACTGAACGACAGAATATCTACCATACATGTAAATCAGACGTCACAATGGCAAATTTTACCTAAAAAAATACGTGACCCCAACATATGACTCCTCTCTATCTTTAAAACTACTTTGACGATTGCTTCCTAAACACATAGTTCTAGGTTGCCATAAAAAGTGACTCTTGCCCAAAGAAATGAATACTGTTGGAACAGAAACCATATCAATTTCTGTATTTTAGGAAAAAACAGGAAAAAATCAAAAAAGAGAGGAGAGGGGAATAGAAAGGTACAGATAGAGAATGGGGGTGGCTGCAGGGAGTATCACAATTCAGGACAAGAGCATGCAAAAGAAGTAAATTACCTAGCATTGCACTTTGATCAGAGAAAAAAGATGTTTCAAGCAAAAATTCAGCAAGTACCAACTATGTCACAGCAGAAGTGCTGAATAACCTGACAACATGTAGCTTCATATATGTTGCCTAAAATGATCCAAGATCTATTCTTGATTATAGCTTGCCTTGAACTGAATGGGATGCCAAAATTTACCAGGTCTTAGATACATATTAATCTATATTTGGATTATTTTTTGCATCTCTAAATTAGCTAAAGTAAATTGAAAAAATATTCACATGCTGTCAAAACACTCCTAAATATGTAGCTGAGCTCACTATTTAAATTTAGAGGCATTGTCAGGGAACAATGGACAGAATGATTTTTCATTTAATTTTAGTTTTTAAAAGTTGGTGTTACAATGTAACTTGCAGTACATGGAGTTAGGGACCTCTGCCATTTAGGCACATATGAAATTTTTTCAAATGCAAGATACCAAAAAAGGGCACAGTGACTTTATACAAGGAACTCCTGCAGAAAGGATTCTTAAAAGAAGGTAAGGCATGATACTCAGAAACAATTAATACAGAAAAACATTGTATTTTAGCCTGCCACAACTGCTCATTAAATCTCAGATTAAGATTTCATCTAGGTTCCTGTGCTACCATTCTTCCTCTTCCTCACCCAGGAGTTTGACACCAACTTAACAGTTTGGATTGTGATATGGAAAAGCTAAAAAATGCCTGAGCAACACTTAAAAATTATACAAGGAAGTATAAAGCTGTGCTAGACTTTACACTGAGCAGCCCTCAGGGCATGAAAGCCCTCCCTGAGTGAGTAAAGACGCTCTTAGTGCAGAACAACACAGCAGACATCCAACATCCATTATAACAGACAGGCAATCTAGATTTGGAGAACAGAAACATTCTTCACCTGTTTATATAGCAGCTTTTGGCTATTGCAGGAATTTCTATATAGGCCACAAATAAAGAACAGGATGTTATCAACACCCTGGGATCAGAAAAGGGAAATGCATAGGAATTCATCCATGTGCTGCTGTAGAGCCCCCAGCGGGACTGCCAGAAAATTTTTTCTCTTGTGACAGCTGGGGAACATATTTCTTTATGCACCTTATAAATCCAGAATTCCCTGCTCTTTTTCTATCAGAAAATTTTGACTAATACAGATACATGAAAAGAGACTTAAATGAATTAATTAAAACCCCTTATTATGTCAAATGGGCAAAGCCAAAGACTTGAGGGTCAATCTTAGCCCTAAGAAGGCTGAATCAAAACAGATGTTATTCTGCAATTTGCATTTTCATGCAATTTCCCAGCATCATTTAGAAGAGAAGTTAAATACTCTATTGATAACAACTGGTTAATTTCAAACTTCCAAATGTAAAAATGTTTCAGTTAAAAACACAGTACTGATCTGTTTCTTAGCAGAACAGCGTTTTTTGCTCTTAGAATTAAATGCAGTGTTTCAGTGACAACAAAGTAAACAAGTTCCGGGGCACAGAATTTCCTTAATCTTAAGTTTCTCTATATATTAATAATACTTTTAAATTAAGTTCTCAACTTCAACTTGACACCGAATTTATTATTGCCTCATGTTTATTTATAATCGTCATGTTTACAGGTACTGATTTTCAGATCTATTTCCTATTCTTTAACTGTGGCGTACTTACAGATATGTACTGGATCCTACATTTAGCTAAATACAAATCCTACATAACTTTATTTGAAAGCAACATGCAGAATGTTTTCAGCCAGATCTAATCTAATACACAAGGAACTCTTTTCCAGGTAGCACATTGCCTGTGTAAGGTTTTTACTCACTGCTCTATTTCTCTGCGATATCTCTCCTCTTCCTCTGCAGCCTTCTGGGAAATCTCCAGCTTTCTTCTATAATAAATAAGTGGAATTAGGACAACATGATAAAAATAGTATTTTCTGAGTAAGAACCTGAACAAAGTGTGTCAGCATATAGCGAAAAGTTAAATACAGTAAATACATTCGTATTGGGGGAAAATGCCCTGTTTTAAAAGTCATCTTTGACACCAAAGGTTCAGTACGGTTTCCTAGGAACCCTGAGGACATTCCTGACCACATGGATAATAAGGACATACAGTCTTAATTCTCTGAGTCACTATCTTCTTCAGAGAAAAGACTATAGTATGTTTTTGTATGAGTTTAAAACTTCTAACTATCTTGCTAAAAATAAAGCATGAGTGAATAGCATCAGGAAAATAATGAATACCACACATTGGGGTATGAGAGTCAGGGAGCAGCAGGACTCTTCTACTCAAGATGGCTTTAAATACTATCATCTTTGAAAGCCCAGAATATCAAGAGCATCACAGGACAAACATTTTATGAACAGAGACTCTGCAAAAACAAAACAAAGTTAATCTAAGTTGAGAATCTTCTCACTTTGGTGAGAAATATCACAGAAATAATTATGTGCTCCTGTCTTCCATGCCCTCCCCAAATCCAAGCTATATTTTTCAGGCTGTCCTACAATGCGTTCTCACAATCTCTCTTTCTCTTGCTGCTCTTTGATGATTTTGTTGGTCTCCAGCGCAAGCCGCTTCTGATGCATTAACTCCTGGCGCTCCAGCTCACGGAGACGCGCTTCTCTTTGCCGTTCTTCTTCAGTCATGAACAGCTCCTTGCCCTGCAATCAAAACCACCACTCCCATCACTTGTGAAAATACCTCATTATTGCAGTTCTTCTAGGAGATGATTCAAACCCAATTACATAGTAGCACATCTGTGGATTCTGACAGTCTGGTCTGATAAACTTTCCCAGGCATTGTTCTAGAGGAGCTTGACAAAGTTTATCTGACTTTCTCTCTGACCAGACTGTCAGCATCCACAGCACATCTGCCATTTCCTCACATTGCTCTTCCTGAGGAACACACCCTGGAAGATCCTCAAAGACCTGACTGCTTACTCCAAGGAGCTATTCCAGTTTCAGCCTCTCAGTTATTATGTACAAAACACTTCAGACAAGGTTTGCAATACTGAAGCCAGCAACATCACCATAGGGGTCATGCCAAATTTATGCTCAGTGTCACTCAGGAAAAAAAAAATTCACATTATACTTCCTTGAAACTTCACTGGGCAATGAAATGCCAGAAAACAGAACACTGAATTATTCCCAATGTGAAGAGAACTACACAGTTACTGTGTTTTAATGCTCTTAATGCCTGGCTGCTGCAGAAACATGTCATCATTCTGGACCCCAAATATAGGGAATGTACATCCCCAAAACATGCTGCAGTTTATGTATTTCAGTTGGTTTTATGTACTTTAGTTAGTTCAGTTTATGTGTTTCAGTTGGTTCCCTTTTCATTTGCTTTACAATTAAGACACTAGCACTATTTTCTGTTCAAGAAAGCTATTTCTATACTGCTATAGGTAGAACGCTTTGGTAACATTAATCTAATTTTCATTTCTGAAAGAAAAACCCCATGTTAATTAGGAATGTAGGATTTTTCCTGTCTCTAAAGTGCAAAGTACACATCTTGAACAAAACCAGGCACTGAGGAATGTCTTTGCACCATAGTAAGGAAACTGTTTCCTTATGCTATCTGTTCTCCAGTCAAAGATGTCTGTTGAGAAGATGATGCAAGGGGAAGGAGTGAGGAACAGAGGAGTTCCATAGCAACAATCTGCCATTTTAAGGATACCACCCCAGTGATGGATGCTGAGGTGGATCTCATATTTTTAAAGTTGTTAACGTAACTGGGAGTTGAAACTAAGTCCTTAGGATGTTGAATTCCTGGAGCCTCATCAACTAACTCAGAATATTTCTTTAAATAATCTCTACAGCACCTTTGGACAACTTCATGTTTTGTTACTCTAAGAGTAAATCAAATAAACTATTAATTCCTTAATGTAGCTACACAGTATACATTAGCCCTTAGGAAGTAGCTGAAGTGACTTATTAAATCTTTTTTTTTCCCCTATTTAACTCAGTTGCAGGGCAATTAGAAAACTTGGTCTTTGATTAGTCTATGGAACTTGATTATCCTCTTGTATACAACTACACACTTTCTATAAGGATTGAAGTGGTAAAAACATTAAAACATTTATTGAAAGTCACACTGAAGTCAGAGGGAAGATTTAATTAAATTTCAGCTGGCTTTACATTAGACCTCAAAGGCTTAGGGTTCTGTTGCACAGAATAGTGGAAATGAAAGATTGAGCAATTTTCAGTGTGTCAATACACTAATGAGATCAGATAAACAGTTACAAAAGGAACTCATTTGGATTAAGACTGAGGCATCAGCTATTCAGGATTAAAAATCATTTGTCTCCAATCCAATTCACCTTTCATGTTTCAGCAGAAGCAGATATCTATTAGAACAGAAGCTCTCAAACATGAGAGACCATTAAAATAACGTAAATTTCCATTCCTTGAGAAGGAAATGATTTTGCATTGGCCCACAATCATGTTTGATTTGACAATACTTGGTGTGGTATGAAAGAATAACATGCCACTCAAAACTGTGCAGGTTTGACAGAGGTATAGATCTTATACAGAAACACAGCTTTTGTTTTTATCCATTTATTTTTACCATTTACTCACATAGCTTTACTCATTTCTGCTCACAAATGTTCTGCTTTTACAAATATGCTACTTACAGCGCCTGCTACCACAGAGATAGTCAAAGTACGGCTGCTCTTGAGCACTCTGACAGCCTGAAAATTAAAACAAAACAAAAAGCAGTGTGAAGGAAGGGATAAAAGGCCAGTATAATACTAGTTACCAAGGCTGGAATTTCCAGAACTAACTAGAGCCACATAGGTATGCAACTATCCATAGTCCATGTTCAATACATAACCCCTTGAGCTAATAGCCCAGAATCAGAACATACATTTTGTAGGACAGGAAAACCGGACACATGTTTAATAAGCTGACAACTACAAATCCAGGGAATTAAGAAGACTTTTACCTCTTTGTGATCCACATTAGAAAAGTCCACTCCATTCACCTCAACAATCTGATCACCAACCTAAAGGAATTAATGCAAATTTTAGTACAGATGCTAAGTTAGTACATACATTCAATGAAAACAGAAAGAAATGTGCTCTCTAACACCCTTCCCACAACAATCATGGGTACTGGCAGAGTGCAAGGGGAACAGACTGGAAACTGGTCAGGCTTGCATACTCCTGCACGGGGATCTGCTATTGCCCCTGCTTGGGATCAAATCCTGAGCTTGAAGGAATATTGGTCTGACTCAGGTCACTCCTGTTCTTACATTTTAGAAAAGTTTTGTTTGAAATGTAATCACCAGATATTTCTTTCCTATGGGGAAGAAAACCCCCATGAATCCTTGGAGTTGTCAATACAAAACAAGAATTCCTTTTGGCACCTACCTTGCAAGGTGCTAAACTTACCTCTAAGCCCACCTCTGCTGAAAGAGAATCTGGCTTAACATTGCTGATAAAAATGCCTGGTTTTTGTGTTGGACCACTGGAAATACTGGAAATGTAGAAAATCCCAAACATTAACTGGATAATATTTATAGAATAATATTTATGAGGAATACAGTGTAATACAGTGAGTAGTTTTAGCTATTTCTTCATAGGTTTTTTTTGCTTGAATAATATTTATGGTATTAGCCAATTCTGAAACAAATATCAAAACTTACCAGTACACACACAGTGGTTTATCATCCTATTTTCCTACTCTCCACCCCACAAAACTGGTTTAAAAGAAAAACAATCATCTGTATTTTGCCTTACATGCTGAAACTTACATGTATGCTGACTTACACTGTCTAAAGGACTGGGGCACTAATCATACCTGAAAGTGAACAAGCAACACAATGAAGAATTACTTGCTGAACTGCATGACCCTGTATGTATAAAACACTGTTATTTTCTTAGGATTATTTATTAGGAACAAGAAGGATGTTTCATCCAGGGGCCAACATCTAGATCAGGAACTTTAAGCCGCAATCTAAGCTGGGCCTAGACACAGAAACTATTTTGTAGATTATACATTCAACAAGTGATATTGAGCCACCTCTCCAGGTTTGTAAATTATTTTTTAAAAACCTTTACATCCTCCAAATTACAGGAGAAAAGAGGCCTGATAATTACAACTATCTATTCCTAAATATATAAGAAATCCTACAATATCCCTTTCTACTCCAAAATCTCCAGAAGAATTGCAAGGAGTCCAAGAATCCCAGAATCATATTTCTAAAATATCCCGTAAACTCAAGATTGATTTTAGGATGTAGCTGGATGTAGCTTTGTGATCATGTTTTAGCTCTGAAAAGGGTCAGAGACTGCAGAGAGTAAACCTGACAGTGGACAGTGCTGGAATTTGCTATGTCACTGAGCAGCACTTTTAAGTATTTAAAAATGTAAAAGCATTTACAAGATCCAATTCCATGACAAGTTATACTAAGGCACTTTCAGTCCATTCTTATTTTTAAATTTTAAAGTTCTTTTCTTCATGACAGTACTTTTAACACAGCTACTTACACTTTGGCTAAAAACATGCAATATGTGCCACAGATACCCTACTGTTAGTTTGCCTTCCTGATCCAGCATGGATCTTCATTTGTCTGACAACATAGCCAAGAAGGATGGAAATACTGTTTTTTAAAGGAGACACTCAAGGCAGTTGACATTAAATAAAAAACATGTACCCACCTGCATCCCATGCCTTTTGTACCAATCAAGCTAATGAAGACTTTCTTCTCTTTACTGTCTCTCCCTCCAGAAGAAGCAAGTCCAGCCACACTGCCCTTTCCTTCCTGTACAGGGATTAAACAATGCTGCAGATGTTAATTCTGTCTTGAATTCATATCAAGACTACTATAAAATTTCATGTAGCCAGGATGAATCCCAGCCAGCATCAAGATAAGATTCAAGGTTTCATTAAAGGCTCCAAGGTCCTATCCTACTGGAAATGAAAGTGAGGTAGAGTCATTTCAGTGGAGCTGCATGGCTGAGGTGAAAGACTGAACTTACCTGTTTGCAGAAGATTACTTAAATAGCCAAATTTTGTCTTCAGAAAAGGGTGGAGGAAAATTAGAGCAAAGTGATACGGAAAAATAATAATTTAGATTGTTTCCTGACAAAAGGGTTGGAGAAATACATGATAAGGCTCACTATTTAAGTATGTCTTTCTTCCTGAAAGCAAAATAACAGTAATTGTGGTGTTTCTTTTCACTTCTGCAACCCTTAGAAGTCGCTTGCATTCAAAGTTGTAATTCCTGCACTAATATGCCTAAAATAGGCCAAATAATCTGATAAAGATTTAGGCAGTAGAACTACAGCCTGGGAAGCTAATAAGCTCAAGCAAAATGAAGAAGCAATTAATGAGTAAAAGCAATTTCATTTGTGTCCTGTCCTTTCCCTACCTAATAGCTCTGGAATAATTTCATACCACAAAAGATGTTCCTCACAGAATCCTTTCAACAAGATATTGCATTATAGTAATGCATCAATAGCTTCTCTGATAAGGTCAGAGGAGAAAGTGTTTCAGAACCATTACAGACTCCCCAGAAGACATTTAACAAAATATTGATCTCTTACCCCACACTCTGACACAAACTGATCCACATATTGCCATTTAAGGGGTTCATCTGGTGAACTGAAAGAAAAAAATAATTTTAAAGAATGGGACAAAATAAATGTCAGTGTATTCCACAAGCTTACTTTGGAATGAAGCTTTCTGTTTGGCATTCACAACTTTCTTTGGATACCATTCATATTTGGTTTATTTTCCAGCAATTTAAACAGAACATTAAACAAGAGTACAATTATTTGGGCTAGTAAAGGTTGAATATAAAATAGATAAAGCCCTCTCAGGTAAAAGAATTTTAGGAACCTCAGAGGAAAACTGTAAAATGAACCATAACCACTCAAACATCTTACAAAAATGTCTATGCAAAGTGACACCTCCTGTCATTAACACTTCTCAAACATTCCACCTAAAGAGTCAGCTTTTCAATGAAAATTTCAAGACCAAAACAATTTTAAATTTCTCTAAACTCTGAAGCCATCATCAAATAGTACATACACAAAGAAGCAGTGGAGCTCTCTGCTAAGCTAGGTGCATTGATAATTAAATTTCCATGAGATATCTGTGACAAATGAGGAAATAGAAATTGGTTCATTTAAGTAGGCAACTGGTATAATATCAGATTCATCAAGCAAGACATCTGCCTGTTCATTAAAAAGGATGTGACATTTTAATCAGCATTCACACAGTTTCATAATTAAACACAGATTCTTGGGATAGAAGAGGCTGTGCAAAAATGAATCTGTTTTCAAAAGCAAAGCCATTACCTTTTGACAGGTATCATGCCAACATCTGAAAAAGAAAAATGCTTTGTTAGGTTTCTGCAGACCACAAACAATCCATTAATAGCAATAATTGGTGATAGAGGTCATTTTTTGTGTTACTTACGCCTAACTTTTATGGACACAACTTTCTTTGTACGAATGAGGTTGATGACTTCTTCATGTGTGCATGACGAAATGGAATATCCGTTTATGCGCACTATCTCATCCCCAACCTCACAAACAGAAAGGAAAAGAAAAAGTAAGCTAGAGTTGATAATTTTAGAAGTTTTTAAGATTGAATGTAATCTGGCAGTCATTTTGATAAAAAGGTTAGATCATGTCGATTCATGAATACTTTTTGAATCTCAGGTAATGTCAGATCAGACTTACCTGTATTTGTTTTGAATTAATACCAAACGAAAAAATTAATGGCCAAATAAAAATTTTATAAATACTGTCTACTATACATCCAGTTTGTATTCCACAGATTACCTTAAAAGCAAGCCTGTGTTTTAATTCAAATAATTTTATAGTTACTTTCTTTTATACTTTAGAAGTTAAAGTTTGCTTTTACCATATATTTTCTGAGATATCTTCCTTAATATATTTGATCAATAGGAAACTAAACTTAGTCTTATTATCTTGCCTGATTCTGGATTGAGAAAACACATTATTTTAAGGGATTTTACCTTTTTTTCATTTGTTTGGGGACCCCGCTAACATTTATTGCCAATCCAACGGCAGCACCCCAAGGACATTCCCTGGAAGTGTTCAATTCAATAGTGTAGAACAGATAAGGTGCTTTCAGCCACTTCTATAAAATTTCAAATCTACTTATCAAAGTACAATCAAAAAGTTTCTCTTCCTCTAATATAAATCCAAATTTGATATGCCATGATGACGAGAGAGAATTTTCCAAGTTTTTATGACCTCTGCCCAATGATCCTTTTACCCAGCCAGGCTGAGAAGGAATCAGTGAAGAAGACATTGCCTACTTCATTTTAGGTAGTGCCTTATTATCTGCCCAAGATTACAATGAAAAATTCCAGGTCCTGGCTGGAGCACCATAAACAAAAACTTTTACTTGATGTGAACCATGTGATGTAGCTGTATGAAAATTAGTGCATGATTTCTTCCATTATCAATGCAGATCAATCCACTGCACAGTAAAATATACAAATGATTACCATGAAATTACCTTAAACCATCCACCATATCATCTTATACCTCTGATCTCCACATGGACAAAGCCAAATACTTTGGGTCCTTTCCAGAAGCACTTCCCTTCAACTATTGTGAATATTTTTTATGGCAAATGTATTTGATGAGACTTTTCTCATCAACACCAACAGCATGGGATTTTATTCTCAGTCAATGAAACTTTGGGTGCCTCCTCACAAATGCATCTGGTTTCATGGCAGCATTATCCCCAGTTAATGATTGCCTAAAATGTTCCATTTAAAGACTCAAGTGTCAAGCTTCCAAAGTTCACTTTAGGCTTAAGCTTTCCATGTTGGTATCTGCATTAGGCTGACTTCAGTTTTCAGCAAAGCTAAAGAAACAATATTTTTGATATTTTTATTCAAGAAAATTTAGGTAGAATGCATCATCAAGCTCTTTTAAAAAAACCCCTACAATTACTTTATAAGAGGCTCTGTGCTTTCCTTTTATATGAGAGGATTGAGTGGAATTGGAAGTAGAAATTCCTCAACACAGCCTATGTTCTAGAGACTTTAACACATAAAAAGACACGACATTGTGTGACAGGATATTAGGGTTGCTATCACCTTCTGCCTTTTATCGTATTGTAACGATTCCTTGAATCTTCCTACTGGGATCTGACAAATAAAAAAAAAACCCAAAAAAACCCACAAACAGAAAACCCCATGAATCTATCTTCCTTATTTCTTCCACAAGCTTTTCTAATTCTTCTGGGAAGTGCCTCATGCTCTGCAACACTACACAAAACATTAACATGTCCACTATACCAGCATTGCTCATGGTCCCACTTTCCACTGAAGCTGAGGATTTTTGTCTGACACAACACAGCATCAGAAGGCTACGAAAGCAAAGAAAACTGTCCTGCAGAAAGGAACACACTCACAGAGGCAAAGCAGGACTGTGGTCCCTAGCTCCTGACCAGTGGGACATCCACTCCCTCTGCTGGGCATCCAAAAAAATCTCATCCACGGCAATGGCCTGCACTCCTAAGAGCTTGACAGTCAGATTTTAAAAATGATCTTCAGTAACAGCAGAAATAGGTCAGTAATGAAGGCCTTTGAACATACAATCTGTGGTACAATACAGAATCAGACAAGAGCAGCACATGAGGTCTGCAGTTTATAGTTACATCCCTGACAGGTCCTGCTGTCACTCGCTTAACCAACTAACAGTTCCAAACATTCCAAACCTCATCCATCCACCCTGTTCATCCTCTGTTGATTTTACATATGTGGCAGAGGGGGAGGGTGGGCTTTTTGTTTGGTTTTCTTTTAGTTCAAGATCCCCCCTTTACTCACATCTTCCACATCATGCAGACTCTAACAGAGCATGGAGCCTGGGTTTGCACAAACCCAAGTCTTTAAAAGGGTAACCTCTCATCCTGTTATTGGCTGCCATGCCTTAACACACAGAAACCCCCAGTTTCAGGGCTGCAAATGACAGTGCCATCCTGGGGTTTCTGCACCAGCAGAACTCGTATTGTTCTGAGGATATCAGCATTCACTGAGTCAAATCTGTTCTCATCTCCGCAAGAAGCACTTGCAAAATTATAAATGCACACAAGAGCATATTTTATTTTCCCCCCAGTATGGGAATAAGCTTTTCCCATACAGGTATTTTTAATACTCTCCTCTACTAGACTGTCATCTTATTTCTCAAACTCAACACCCTTCACTCAACGTAAAGACATTTGTATTGCTGACAGACAACGACTGAGGTTGCTTTACAAATAACCCTATTTATCTAGGCTGAACTACAGAAGACCTATAGACATACAGCAAACTGCTTCTCTTTAGGATACTTGAACAGCTTTTCCTGAACAATGGTATCTAATATTGGAGTAATTAATAGCTGTTTTCATGTATTTTGTTACTTTCGTACAGGTATCACTGTATACCAAGCTAATGAATCAGAGCTGTAGAGATAAAAGTCTGTGGGACTGAGCAGAGTAGAACAGTAACAATTATTTTGGTATTATATCAGTTTCCCCTTTCCCTATCCAACCAAGAGATGACAGACTTTAGAAAAAAGATGCAAACCTAACTTTTTCTCAAGTAAAATGCCTATTATTTCTAACTTTTAACATGAGAAATATAATATTTAGTGCTTCTAGGAAATGGAAGGGCTTCATATAATAACATCAACTGTTTCAAATTTCCCATTTTGTATACTGCTACCACTTTCATCATTCACACCAATCTCTTTGTATTCAGCAGAATCCTCACATACAAGTATCAAAAAGCAGTGGGGGGTGGGGGAGAGATGAAGTCCATTTCTTAATGGAAGGACAAAACACTTGTGCCTTTTAGAGAAACTGTAGTCAAAAAAGGGTCAAACCTACAAGTATCACAGAGAACTTTCATTATTATTTGGTCATTTTAATGTAACTTGGAAAGTACCTCAAGAAAAAACATGCAATTTGAACTGGAAATTTTAAAAGCTGCAGGATGTAAAACTGATGGTATAATAGAAAATCATTATACCTTTCTCAGACTGCATTTTTGGGATTGAAAATGTGTAGAGATTTTGTTAAATCAGGTGGGTGAAATTTCAGAAGCAGTTGGCTTTACTGTGAGACAGCAATTTAGAACAATGGGCTGCCTGTCAGGTCTTGTTATTCAGTGAGGTTCAGAAAGTGCCTAGTGCCACCTATTATCCAGGCACTTGAGGCTGAGCTTTAACACCACGTATCAAAAAACAGAAGCCAGGCATTTACAGGAGCTGCAAAGCAGCATCTGCCCTTATGAATTCATATAATCCCTCACAAATTCAGAGTCAGTGTGAAGCATTCTTCCCCGCTATTGTCCCTACTTTGTCAGCTAAACCCTAACAATGTCCTGATTTGCAAGAGAGTTCACAAACTCCAGCTCAAAGATCCTTTACAAGCCCCCTGACTGACACCAACATGTCCAACAACGACCCTGGTCACTGAAAGCCAAGGGGCCTTTTTGTGTACAGAGAAAGCAGGACAACTGACATCCTAATAAGAGCACAACAGCTGAACATCACTCCTTCTGTAGTGACGGTGTCAAAATGTTAGTGTGAAAGGAGCAGAGAAGCAGAGCTGCAACACAGCCTTAACGCCAATGTATTAGAATGTATTTAAGGCAGTGGCTAGTAAGTCCTTTATTCATCAGCATCATTAGTGCCTTCCAATATTTTCCAGAAGATGCTTACAAAAGCCAAATAAGGGACTGGTCTTGATCTTTTTCTCAAGTTTCTAGCAGTTGAGGAAGGAAGCAGAGGGAATCTCTCCTATTGAGCTCCCCACAGCCCAGGAACAACTCCCTTGTCTACACTTCCCATTCTTGCTGTGTCATGCAGAAGATGAGATACATCAACTTTTGTAGTGCAAACTGAGAGGGTCCATCAATGTCCTTTTCTGCAGTTGCCCATTGGCAAATCCCATGCTTAAATTTTTTTTTTAGGCTGAGGACACATAGAGCACAAGGTTTGTGCTGAGCTACAACACCCTCTCAGTTCTAACTACACACAGAACTCGTGGTTTTGTTCCAAGGAGTTTGTAAAGCATCCCCCTGAATGCACCTGTCACACATGCCAGTCATGCACCTGTGCAGAGCAGGCTGACAGAAGATGGAGCCAATTCAAAGGTGATTGTGGATGGGATATATAGGTATGAATGCACAAACAGAAGGGCATGCACATACATGAAACAAAGAGGAACAGTTTAAATTTTAGAAAGCTTTCAGCATGAGCGACACAATCAGGGAAACCTAACTTCCTCTGCCTTGTTGATAGATATTTTTATTTTTTTCATCTAAGATCTGTGAGGTAATACTGAAGCATATCTACAAAAACATGCTAGCTTAATTAAACTTAATTAAAATTAATGAATCATACTAGTCCAATATATTTTGGACTAATGTTAAACACAATCCTCAGCCATCAATACTTACAGTAGATATTCAGACTTGATAAATTAAAAGTAGCCAGGCATATTACATATATTATATTATATTAGCCTTTCCAGTCAGAAATTTAGACCTTTAGTATACCTTATCAGATTCAAAGTCTGATAGAAAGATGCAAACATTTGCCCCAGCAATTTCTCACTTCTCTCTTCACTAAGCAATGCCACTTTGAAAAAAAAAACCCAAACACCCAAACCATTATTAATGCAAATTGCATGAGTATTGCAGTGTTTCTACACATAATTCTTTTTGCCAACCTTGTTGGCAACTTCATGTATCCAAAATTCAATCTCAGAAAGTGCAATTCTATGCAGTAAAGAGGATACTGGGAATAGTAAAAACTAACTTATTTATTTTATTGCATAATCCAAAACCCCCACAATCTATACATAAAGTTCAAGTAAATATTTCATTACACAAATGATATCTATGCAAGATGGAATTAACACTTAGCATTTATATGTTCTGTTCTACATTTAATCAAAACTTAGGAATTTAAAGCATTCTTCTACAGTCTAGAAATCCTTCTTTCCATCTGCTTACATATAACTGTTGCTACTCATGAAGTAAAAGCATTCCAGGAAAACTTTAAGCCTTCAAAAATTAGCATATCCCAAACAAGAAAAAAAGAAGGTTTACATATAATTAAGAACAGCAAAATAAACATTTTTAATGACTTGATTCACCGCTGGTATAATGGTATTTACCATGGCATTACTTTACATGTAGGAATTCGATTTGAAGTGACAAAGAGCATCTTGGCAAAATCAACTTCTGAATGTTAAAGAACAACCATTAGTGCCTAACATGAATATAGAATTTTCTTACCTGAAGTCCAGCATTGTCTGCCTGCCCTCCTTTAACCAACTGGGAGATGAAGAGGCCACAGCTGAATTCCACTCCACCTCTTACACTTAATCCAAGCCCTTCAGGATCCAATCGATCCAATCTCACCTCTTTCAGCTTTCTGCAAAAATGGAACACACTTGAGTGTTCAGCTGCATAACACCTCATCTCAATAATGTTTCATATGCAAGTTAGACATTATTTTTCACTTATATAATTTAGGCATAAAAAGCAAGTTCACTGAAGTTTGGATGGATGTGTTGGCTAAAACCATCAAGTTTATTCAAATGAAAAGATATTTGCAATCACTGAAACTGCTTTCAGAGGGTTAGAGCAATGAGATTTTTTTATTATGAAATTCAAGAAAAATGAGAAAATATTGGTTTCGACTCCTTTACCTTGCTGTTACTAGATTAAACCACTTGGCAAACAATTTAGGTACAGTACGGGTAGTTAGCAGGTAATTTAGGTACAGTACAGGTAGCTTGGCAAACAATTTAGTTACAGTACATGTAGCTGTACTTCTAGCAAATATAGCTAAAGTAAAATAACTATGCCCAAATCTACACAGATGGACAATATTTTACTCTGAATTTACCTCAGTAAACTCAGTATTTCTTGTTTTTTATTTAAGTTAGCTGCATTGTTTTGTTGCTGTTCTGCATTGTCTCACCGTGATCGTTTGGGTGTAAGCTGATCATATTCCACCTGGTGCTTTAATGGGATGAGTGGGCGGATAGCATCGAACAGAGGCAGCCTGCTTGGTTCATTAATCACCAATTTTAGGTCCCCCACAAGCACTGGGAGATTCATAGACCTGCAAAAACACAGTGACAAAACAAACACAGGTAAACAACACACCAACAACAAGTTTCATTTTATAAGTTGTTGTGCTCATGGCTTCAATATGTGCACGTCCTTTCAAGCTACCAAAAGAGATTTATGCAGATACTCGTTTGATGAAAGCACACTAACCCCTGAGAAAGGAAACCTTCTGTAAATAAAGAACACTTGATTCAAAACATGTGAAGTCTTCTATACATTCACTTAGTATTTTAAGGTCATGCACATCATGTTCATAGATGGCATCTCCAACTTCATTCTCAGGGTACCTACAAGATTTATGGAACCATTTGAAAATAACTTGACAGATTAGACCCACCTGCCTAATGGATTTTTGTTTCTTCATTAGTTAGGGATCCTTGTAAGTAAATATAGGCTACAAGCTCTTTCCTTTCTTGAACTTAGAGTACTGACAAATTGTTTCAATCCAGGACAAAAAAAAAAAAAATCCCAATATTCAGTAGCTAGAGGAAAGACTTTAAGTTCCAGATTTTGTTCAAAATCAAATTTGAAGGGTGATTAACTAATCCACAAAACCTACAGAAGTTAAACTGTTGTCAACATCTCTCTCATGAGAGCTAAGCAAAGTGGTCTCCCTGAAATTGTCAGCACTGAGATGGTTATAATCTACAAAATATACTTTGTTGTACAGCTGCAGGACTGGAGGAACAGCTAAGGTTCAACAGAGCTATTCCTATAAAATATTCAGTTAAACTTTTTCTGTATTATTTACTGTTCCCTTTCTTTAAATTTACGTTTCCTGGGATGCAATATTTCTGAGGTATGGGCACTGAAAATACAAATCAGGAATACCTATGCAGAATTAGAGGTCAAATACTTCTGGAAGTACTATTCACAGTGAAGCAGAAATAAAATGCTAACTCCAATAGCAAATACACATATTTTTGCTTTGGGATATTTCATAATGTATTCCCAGGAAGTGATACATCATCATTATACATTCACAGAGATATTGAAAATTTTGCCCGAGACATTGCAGTTGTGGAAATTGAAGAAAAGTTGCCGTATGCATTGTTAATTTTGTAACTGTTAGAAGATTTTAAATAATTCAGACCTGCTGAACCAACTGGCTTTCCAAACAACAATCCTTATGAATGGAAAAGCAATTAGACAGACCAGAGTGAAACTGAATGAGATATGCAGCTGAATACCCCCATAACTACAAACATCAGATGGAAACATATACATTTCACTCAGCTGAGAAGCTTTTAATTACAATATGAATGGAAACAATGTCTGTTAGACCCACTTGCTTATGATCAGTGGAAAATATAGTCTCATCTTCTCTGAAAAACAATGGATCATGGGCTGATGTAATTTGCAACGAAACAAGTCTGAGGCAACTGTGGTTTAAATCAGTTCAGGAGAAGGGTTGGTAATAGGCCTATCACCTTTCCAATTTTTTACCATTGTGTTGTAATAAGCCAGAGTCATTAAACATGCCAAACAAACTCTGAGAGTATATTTTCCCAGCTTTGTGAAGGACAGCTGCAAAATTTTGATCACAAGAGTTATCAAAAAATCTTTGATGTCAGCAAAAAATTTGTATCAAACAAAAAAGCACTATTTGGAAATATTAATGATTATCATTAATGCTCTCTTCCCGTTTCCTAAGAACAGCTTTATCACGCAGGAGCTTCCCCCCACACATCCCCAGATATGAATCTACCAAACTCTTATAAAAAACTGCCAAGTCATAAAACCAAAGTAGCTTTATAAGTGATTACAGACATGCTGCTTCTTTGCCTGCAGGTTATGCTGCGAAACCACAAGATTTCATTAAACAGGATAAAAACCTCTTATTTCAACTACTTTTCTAGTAACACATAGAAGGACTATTTAAATAATCATGAATATGAATTCTTCACATTTAAAAATATTAGTAAAATTTCACACCAAGATATATAAAGCTAGATCTTACTGGTGGTACATCCGCAGCACATCATAAAGGTAATCCTTCTCCGCTTCATTGTCAATTAATAGATTGACCTGAAAACCCAAGGACACTATCGTTAATCTCTGACTTAATAGCCCAAATGCTGAACATGAGAGACTTCCACAGATTCTTAAGCCACAGAGCAAAAGTTTCATTAAGGAAAAAGAATTTTTTAAAGATAAACATGTTTTTGCAACAGAACATTACCTCACAGTGTCATGCTTACAATGAGAATTTCTAAAATTAGTATGACAACAATTAGACAAGGTGGTGAATCCTGATATACTCTGTATGCTAGATTTCCCCTCAGCAGTAGTATTACTACAGTAATATCATATTTTTCTTACCTGATAATCACTGAACTGCTGAATAAATGTCTTCAGAAACCTTTTTGGCCACTCATTAATGTAGCACATGCTGTCACAGAGAAAACCACCGTGCTGAGATACAACCTCTGTGCTGTCGTCCAAACCACCGATTTCAGGAGCTCACTTATAGCATTATGCAAACTGCTACACCTCTGTTCATCTCTGCTCCAGCTCTTAACTGATAGAACTTACTAGTTATTCTTTCCTCCCCCACTAATAGTACCTTTACTTAAACCAGTGTCATATTACTATGCCCGCTCTTGGATAATTACAGTAAATTAAAGCAAAAGAAAACCAAACCCGAATTCTTACATAAGGAGTTCAATTTATATTCTGTGATAGTGAGACCTCCACTAATCCTACTTGTAGTGAGAGGTCACATCACATCAGTTTTACATCTGGACAAGCCTGATGTTTAGGAAAGCAATTTACATCTGACCTAAAGGGTAATATTACTGTGACGTGAAGACTGAGAAGCAATTTGCATACTTAAAGAAAGGCCCTTTCTTTCCAGGTTTGCAATAGTTTGTATTATGTTCTAAACTAAATACATGCTTCATATTCCTTTTGTCCCACTTGGCTCTCTAAAGCCAGCAAGTCCTCGCATACCAGTGGTTTTCTATTACGTGTACCTCCCGGCTCTCTAAGGCCAGCAAGACTTCGTATTCAGGTGGTTTTCTGTTACTTGTCTCCTCTGGAAAAAGACACTTTCAAAACACCTAAAGGCCAGAAAGCTACATGCAGGTCAAGATTGCTTTACAGTTATACCAGTGAATGCCATTTATTCACAATGAATTTCAAAACACATAGGATAAAGTCTGTCTTAAAAGGAAATAAAATGTTTGCCATCAAAACTTCAGCAATACTGTGCACAGACTCGAGGTGAGGCTAATTGTAAAAGTAAAACTCAAGGTAAAACTAATTCCAGCACCCATTTTTCACTTCCCTAACAGGTAAAACACAGAGCTCAATCCCAAATGCCAGCTAAGATACTGTATGAGCAGTGCCTCACAAAGAACATTAAATGTTTAAGTGCATCAATCCTACACAGCAAAGGGCAAAACCATCATCATCTCTTTTTCCTGTGAGAGAAAGCAAAGATTAACAACATTCAATTTTTCTCCTAATATGCTTGCTGGTGGATGCATCCTCATTTCCTCTCAGAAAATGGAGGACTATATCTAAATTCTGCTATTTCTTCTAACAAAATATTCAGTCTGTTTGACTCCCGCACTTCTCATCCTACACCAGCAACTTCCTTCTCATCTGAGCAAACCCAACACCCAGGTGATTTCTAATATATTCAGAATGCTATAGCTGGGTTCATCATCCTGGGCCACTCCTACTAATGGGTCATTCTCCTCCTGCTGCCTTCCCTTTCATCAATTATCACTGCATCATAGCCACCTGCATCTCATGCAGAATAAAGAATTTTCCTAATTCTTTAACTCCTTGGGGTTAAATCTTACTGAAAACATATGCTTTACCTGGACTTATCATCAGCTTCTAAAAACTGACTCTAATTTAATAAATTCTAAAATATCATCCCTCCACTATATAAAAAAATAAATTAGCAGTGACATGGTTTAACTCGGATCACAGAAGTATTTTAGGATCTATTTCTCAAGAAAATTACTGTAGAGCCATGGGATAGGAGATTTCACACCTTTTAAACCAAGGATATTTTAGAAAAACCCTCTGGGCACAGCCCTGGACAATTGGCTCTTGAGGGCCCTGAGCATGGGGTTGGGGCAGACAACCTCCAGGTGTCTCTTCCACCCTCAGTGATTATTTAAAGAGTCTTCATATTAGTTGTATCATTGATAATCCTAGAACACAGAGTTGATTATGCTCCATTTCTCACTATGTACACTGCACTGTTTTTCATAAAAATTTGTTATCGCCTTATTGTAGGAGTTTCCTACTGTTGTCTCCTTAGGGCAAAAGTTCCATACCTTCTGGGTGTTTCTCATGGGTAGTTTCCCAGAGCACTGACTCTTTCTCCTTCACAAAGCAGCCACCCAACCCCAGTTCCCCTCTCACCCACCCCACTCTTTTAGAGCATCTTCTTCAGTCAGGCCTGTTCCTAATCCTTGCTAATTGGCCCAGCTGCAACTCCTTAGGGGTAAGATTACTTTCTACACTATCTTTATTTTCTTATATTCTATTCCCCTACAGAAATGAATAAAAAGTCATCACACAATCTGCACCTACATACATAAAAAAATGAAGTCTGTCAAGAAGTCTGCCCAAGTTTATTCAGTGGAATAGAAGCTGTGGGGAGGAAAAAGCACTTTTTTGGTGTGGAAAAAGTTCAGATGACAATAATGCAATATGTTAGCACTAGCCCAATCTGCCAGATTTCAAAGAAGAGTATGAAGTCCTGTTTAAGCTAGCCAGATTTTGGAAAACTATTGAAGGAAAGGGAAAAACTGGTTTGGATATATAGCATATTTTACATTGCTGCTTGGTTGACAGGGAAACTGATTATATTTGCTAAGAAAAAAAAAACTAAGAAAAAAAATGTTAAGTAAGATAACTGCCATTAACTGAGGAAATTTAGATCTTGTAGTGAGCATCTTCACTGGTATGTCACAGAAAAAGTAAGCATCCAAGACTGGGTGCTGCAGAGGTCACTAGAAGCAGGATGATGCAAAATAAAAAAAAAGAAAATACTTATTTCAATGTCTTCTAGCTCTGATAAAGCTGTCACTGATACCTGCATCCCAGCTGCTTGCAGCAACACTGACAATACATCTCACGTTGTCAGGGGTGGGGCTTGAATGATTTATGAATTATAGCAGCAATGAAAGGGAGAAGGTTTAAAGTTCAAGGCAGCAACCACCCACCTAGAAACAAGAGTCTTTACAGAAAGGTTGCACAACCCACTGCTGAGTTATACAGTAATAGGGGGCAAGGCAGAAACAATGTGCTCGATGGCTACAGTCATCATGATGGAATATCCAGGTCCTCAATGTTCTTGGACTCCAATTTGACATATAGAAGGTTTTTTTGCACTTCCTCTAATTCATCCTAACAATCCTTTGGTTAATGTGTTTATTACCAGGTGGCAGACACTTCTATAAAACATTACATTACTTTGTGGAAATTGCGTGTCCTAGCTGATAAAACAAAACAAAACAAAACCCAGAAAAAACCAAACCAACCACAAATTTCTACACAAAACAAAACGATCCCCACAAAGCACTACAGAAAACCTTAATCTGAGAGTCCTAAACGGCTTGGCAAAAACATCTTCTACACATGTAAACTATTTTCTCCCCCTTTCCTTAATTAGAGCTTTCTGAGCGTTCTTCGCTCATACAATTTTGCGCTCTGCCGAGCACCTATTTAACCGGATAAATGACAAAACGCCAAAATGCCAGGCAGCCCGAGCGGCTCCGTGTATCAAGCGCGTTCGCACGTGAGCGTACAACCCGCCGGGGAATGTTAAGGTGGAACCGGAGCGGGCCGAGCCCCGCCGGGTGCGCGCAGGGCTGAGCGGGCACCGCCAGCGCCCGGACCCGGCACCGGCTCCAACGGGGCGCTAAACACAAAACAAACTGCTCCAAGCCCTGGAAAAGCTGGTACACTGGGGAACGCTACTCTTCCCTCTCTCTCTTTGTAAGGTCTTTAACCCATCCCGTCCCCGGAGGCTGCCACTCGCGCCGGTGGCAGGGCAGTGCAAAGTCCCGGAGCTTCTCCCTCCCTCCCCGCGGCTCACCGGGGCACAGCCGTGCCCGGCCGGGGGGGCCGTGCCGCCCGCAGCCTCCGAGCCCCGGCCGGCCCCGCCGCCTCACCTTGTGCCGGAACTCGCGGGCGACGCGGCGCTCCATGGCGCGGCTGCGGCTGCGGGCGCGGTGCGGGCGCTGCGCGGGTGCGGGCGCTGCGCGGGTGCGGGCGCTGCGCGGGGCGGCTGCGCGGGCGAGGCCGCGCCCCGGGGCGGTGAGAGGCGCGCCCGCCGCCGCCTCCGGCATCCCCGGGATCGCAGGGCACCGCTGCCCGCTCTGGGCTTGCACCCGGAACGGCCGAGAAAGTAAAACTAAAATAAACATGCATCCATACACGGCCCCTGCCCGCGGTGTGCTACCCGGGCTTCTCCCTGGCCTGATTTGTACCACTAGCTCTTCTCCTCAAACGGCACTCAGCTCCCATACCAATTTCTCGCCTGTATTTGTAGGTCTGCATGCATGTCAGTAACAATAATAGTTAAGGAAAGCACGAATATGTGAACTTTAAAGGATATTAACACCCGGGTTAAAAACAAAACAACCAAACAAAAAACGATCTAGGCCCAAACAAGCAGAAAAAAAATTGCTTCAATAAATTGTTGGACGGCAAATGATCTAAACTTCTTTGTTTTTAGGTAAGCAGAGTGAAGCTAATGGATCATTGTCTAGATCAGACTTCCCCCAGCCTTTCCCACAATGTTGTTGCTTACACATAGAGCCTCTGAAGTGGCTGCTGTGAGTAACTGCAGAAGAATCAAGCTCGGTGCACCTGAATAGGAACCTATTTCGGACTACTGTCTTCCATACTATTTTGTCTTGAGCTGGTTCTTCTCCCACTTTCCCTGCTGTGGTTCAAGATCATGCATTTCCTCAATCAGGAGGCAGTGAGTGGAGAACCCCTGCTCACCCAAGTCTCTTGGTCTCCATGCAAAATCACCTTTAACCACATAACTCCAGAGAGAGCAGGGTTTACCTAAGGACAGGTAACTTATCTCTCCTCCTTCCAACCGAGTGAAAACGTGTATGAATACATATAAAAGTATGATTAGAAAAAAAAAATCCATACTGCCATAAACCCCCCTGTGTTCTATTTTATTATTTCTGTGAGATAACTTTTGTAAGCTTTATTGGCTCATTAGAAATTGCTCTTAGCCATTTCAGATGGTTTTGCTGTGTTGGAACACATAGTCTAGAACAATCATTGATATCCATCAATCATTTCTAGAAGGCTTTACAGGAATAGATCTTATCCAAGCTCAAAGCTATGTGCATTTGAAAGAAATTAACTGTTTTGTTATAATACAGATAAACTTCCCAGGAGTCAGAAACTCCTCCATGTAGTAAAGAATTGTGAAATTGACTTCACTTGATGTGAAAACTGCTCCAAATCATCATGTAAAGGACACAGTGCAGGAAGGATGAGAAACTTGGTGGGCTGTTATTCTGCTGTTACATGAATTCTTGTGCTCTACTGTGTGTAAATACAAAGCAAACAAATCCACAAAGCTAACTCATGCTCCAAAACTGGAAGTTGGATAATCAATAAATTTATGAGGTGGTTCGGAAGTTTTCATTGCTTCAAATGCACCATGTACTAAAAGATGATACAATTATGACTGTTTAGTATTTTTAGATAATGAAATCTTTCCTAGGAAGAAACCAAATTGCATCTAAATTGGTTCTAAATTAGCTTCAATTCTTGTTTGCTACTTGTGGCACAAAGAGAAAATGAACAAAGTGAGCAGCTCATTTAGTAGGCAAAGAAATACATTAAAGTGTGTGTTGTGTAACCTGATCCCTGTTGCTTTTATCTGCTTTCTCTACTTCCATTAATGTAGCTTGGATCAGTGAAAGTGCACTGAACCCAAGCACTTGCTGCACTCAGAGCAGATATAGGCTGAGGCTTGCACATAGTTCTAAAAATTTGTTTGGGGTTATTTGGAAAAGGCTGTGTCAAAGTTAGGGGATATCTTTTATTCCTCACATTTTGTTTCTCTCAAGCACATTCTCCCTCCAACACTTACAGGAGGGAACAGAATTCTCAGTGAAAACATCACTAGTTTTCCGTCATTTCATTAGAAATGAAACACAATCCACAGGGACAAATTACAAAGGCAGAAAAGAGATCTTTTTAATGACTTACTGTTAACAGACTTCCCAAAGCAGTCAGAAAAGGCCCCTTTTTATCTGAGACAGTTTCTCACCTGGTATGGACAGCTTCTAAAGCTTCTGTCATAAGATATGCAGACCTGAAGAATGATGGGGAGAGAGACAGCAGCAGATGGGAAAGGGAAAATAACAGCAAAGGTAACAGTGCTAGGAGGAGAGAAGAGGGGAAAAACATAATAGAAGGAAGCAAATTTAATTATAAAAGGTGAAAAAAAGAAAGGAGAACCAAGAGGAATAAACCTGGAAAAGGTTCCAAAGAGAGCTCCAAAGTGTGAATTTATAGTAAGGAAAAAAGTTATGGAAAAAGAAGCTATGGAAACCATCTCTACACGTTAGCTGCATGCTGCATTCAGTGTACTTCTCACTTATGCCCTCGTTATTCAAGCCCTGACACCTCTTTCACTGGGGCCGCTGCTCCGTGCTGAGCACGGACAAGATTTGCCGCTCCGGGCAGGCGCTCAGCGCTCGGTCCGTGCCCATCCATCCGCAGGAGCTGAGCGCTCGGCCCGTGCCCATCCATCCGCAGGAGCTGCGGGAGCAGCCCCGGCTCCGCCGGCCCCGGAGCGGGCGCTTAGAGCGGCGCTCCCGGCTGCTGCTGCCGGGACAGCGGCACACGGAGCTCCCAAAAGCCCAGAGAGCGGACAAATGGAAGCGAATGCGTGGAGGCGGCGAGGTGAGCGCCACGCACGGCCAGGGCGGGAGCGGCGATGGCGGGGCCGGGGGCGGTGTCCGGGGCGGGTGCCGGGGCAGGGCCGGGCCGGGGGCGGATAAACCCCCCGGCCGCCCCGCCCGCCCGGGCGGGATGAGTTCGGGGCGTCGGTAGCGGCTGGAGCTCCGCGGGAAGCCGCTGCCGCCCGCATGGAGACCCGGCTCCTCCTCGGAGCGCTGCTGGGCGCCTGGCTGTCCTCAGGTGAGCGTCCCGCCGGCCGGGGCATTGCATGGCATGGGATGGGATAGCATGGCATGGTTATGGGAGGGCGGCCAGGGCAGTCCGGCCATCGCTAACCTGCCGCCCTTGCCTTCCAGCCCTGTCTCTGTGGGCTGCCCGGGCGCAGCTCCCGGCCGATGGGAACCTGCCGCTCCCCAGGTAAGAGCCGGCCGGGGCACGGCGCGGGCTCTCCGGGCTGGGTGGGCGCTGCGCTGCCCGGACCGAGCCAAACCTGCTCTTTTCTCCCCCTCAGCCGAGGCAGCGCCGCGGGAGCCCGGAGCGGGGGCGGCCTGGCCGCGGCGGTGCAGGTGAGGATGCGGGCGGGCACCGCGGGGCCGGGCACCACGGGACCGGGTACCATGGCACCTCACAGGGGACACCGGGCCGCTGGGATGGGCAGCTTCCCACCAGGCAGGCCTCGGAAAGAGAGCATCCACCACACTGCATCCAGGGCTCGTGGGGCTGATAAGCTCAGGTGGTGCCGGGCTCTCAGCGCCGCTGCCCGGGGAGACCCCTCTGAAGGGGGCTGGCGGTGAGGGACAGAGGGTTGCGTGTCCAGGTTGTCATCAGAGTAATGTCCTCCTCAATAATATACCTGTACATTGCTGTGATACCATTTGTATCTTGGGTGGCTGTTTCACCCTTGGTAATTCTTCAGGATTTGCTCTCGAATGTGTATGTTATACTGGCCACGAGTACTCTCAATCCTGAATGAAAGTTTAGTGTTAGAACAGTGAGAAAAGATGGTGTGATTGTGTCTAAAGCTTCAGCTTGTTCAAGAAGTTATGTGCTGTACAGTGTCCTTGCTGGAGGAAAAGCTGGGGTCTGAGGTCAACAATTGCTTTGTGGGAGCCTTTCTGCCTCTCGGTAGAGGTAAACGAGCTGGCAGTATCGGGGTCGCTGCAGCTCAGCACTCAGGGTTTTGGATGTGGTTTGTCTTGGCAACTCGGTTGTGTCACTCATGGCACGTTGCTGAAATGTAATTAGGGTGTGTGGTTCCCGCTCCCTTGTTCGAGGGTGGGAAAAGGCAGGATTGCTTTGTAGTCCTTGTCCCTGGCTCCTCAGAGGGAGTCACCTTTCTCTCTGCTTTCTCCCTGCTCTTTCTGGGAAAAGCTCAGCAAGAAAAAATGTCACAAAACTGCAAACAAGTAACCAAATCAACCACCAATAATAGTGAATACTCCTGGATTTAGGTTCTCCCACCAAGAATTCAGGACATAGAAATAAAATTTTTGCTTCTTTCTGGGCTAGCCTACTGAGCAGAAATCTTTGGTAAGGGGTACGGTTTAGGAGGAAGGAAGAAGAAAAAAGATTGGAGTTTTGAGTGGAGTATACATTTTTACTTTACGATGGTGCTTTTTGAGAACTTTATAGAAAGCCAATACAAAGCAATGATCTTATTAAAAATGGTGAATTTACTGACTGACTGAAGCGACTTTTAGGTGCTTTGTTTATAGCTGCTGATTTCTTTGTTCTTTCTGAAAGGAGTCTGGAATGGCAGTTTATAACACTTCACCTACAGCAATGTCCTTGTCCTGGGACAGGAGAATTCACAGTATGAAATGTGGATCACCCAGTAAGTTATTTATGTTTGTACATAAAGTGACTTTTCTTTTCCCTTATTTTCTGCATTGTTTAATCATTCTTAGGAAGAAAATAATTCCTAAAATAGCTAATACAGGCCTTGATGATAATTAGGCTTTACCTTGTTTGGTTTCAAGGGTACACAGGAGCATGGAAATTTGTCATGGAGTTTCATCTAGCTTTAAGTTTACACCTGGTTCTGATTTGATAATTTGGGAGACTATTCCTAACCACAGGTTTTGTAATACAGACTTTTCAGAAAGGAATTTTTATAGTAGTATATCTAAAAATGTGGATTGATATTTAGACACCAGTAACTTGCCTGTCCTGTAACTTTTTGTGCTTGAAGAGTGTTTGTTTCTGCTGAGGTAACCTGCAGATGCTGTTTGTGTGTACTATCTATGGGTTAGCAGGATGAGGCCCT